GCCTTAGCCGCTTGAGCCACAGGCGCCAAGCCCTCACATTCATTCTTGAGGATGGAGAATGCACATTCTAGGAAACCTCTTTCCCCCTTTATGGTGCCTCTCAAACCTATATCATGTCTCCTGCTGATATCAATATGATATTGCCAATTATGAAGGGAAACTCTCTGGGATCATCTTTCTTACTCTTTATGGGGCCTCTGAGCAGACCTTACAGAAGATTGGTGGGGAGGCCAGGAGCTATGAGTTCTCTCCCTAAGTAACATTACTTCACCTTGTAGGCAAGAAGATCCCAGATATAAGTGATGAGGCAGAAGAGTTGGAACTACCCACTGTGCTTCCAGTGCCCACAGAATCAAGTCCCATGCCTGACCCCTGCAGTGGTGAACTGGATGCCATGATGCTGGGTGAGACCCTTTCTCTCCAGGCTGTTGGCAGTGGGGACAGCCCACTGATCAAAATGGGACAAATGGGACAGCTGGGACAGCCTGGACAAATGAATGACATGGGACTTTAACATGATCCATGGAGGTGAGACTTCAAGCAGGGGTTGGAAGGAGACTTGTGGCATGGAGAGGGAGGGTTCAGAGCCAAAAAAGGTGAACCAGCCAGGCATTAATCAAGGTTGCTAACCTCTATGGTAGCACATCTGGAAATGCAGCAAGGTGGAGAAAACTGTGTTAACTGGAATGCCTATTAGAGAGGATACTGCACCTGGTTGGAAGGACAGCTTGGAAGTCACTTGAATTGGAGAGCGAGGTTCTCAAGAGGAACAGCCATCTGCTGTTCTGTTGAGTGGAGCAAAGCTGAAATGCTCTGAACAACAAAGCGTTCTGGGTCCTCCTTCTCTGCCTTTAATTTTCTCCTTGAATTAAAACTGAATGGGCTCAGTCCCTGTGGCTCAAGTGGCTAAGGCGCCAGCCACATACACCTAAGGTGGCGGGTTCAAATCCAGCTCTGGCCCACCAAACAACAATGATGGCTGCAACCAAAAAATAGCCGAGTGTTGTGGCAGGCGCCTATGGTCCCAGCTACTTGGGAGGCAGAGGTAGGAGACTTGCTTGAGCCCAGGAGTTGGAGGTTGCTGTGAGCTGTGATGCCATGGCACTCTACCCAGGGGGACAGCTTG